GTCTTTTTCAACCTTAATGATCCTATGATTCTATAAATCTAAGTTTGGGTGGGATGATGCAGACCTGACATACCCAACCTCATTACTTTTCCCCCAGTGGTGTTTTTTTCTCCCCAGGACACACAGCACTGTAGGAGTAGTTTGCTAGGTTGAATGGGAACAATGAGTTCTCAGCACTCTGAAAATTACGTAGCATTTGCTGTATATCAGTTTCATCTAGAAAAACTCTCAATGCTCCAAATGAGATCTCCCACTGGGCATCTCGGTTGGACAATTCTGATGACTAATAAATGTAATATTTTATTGTTACCAGAAATTTCCTAATTATGGCCGTCATCACTGTAAATAAACACATTCAGTTCCTACTGAACATTATGATAAAGCCTTCCCTCCAAGCATGGGAAATATTTTTTTAAGTAATTTGCTACCAAATGTGGCAACATGTGAAACTGTCCTTGAGTCTAATTCCCTGATTCTTCTGCTTCTAAAAAAAAGCTTAATTGCCAAATAACTTATTCTCCAATAATGTAAAGCTTTCAGGCATTTCCACATTTGAAGTATTGCCTCTTTCTTGTGGGTATATCAGAATATTCCAAGGACTTGAGCAATTTGACTAATAAAGTTTTGAAAAGCAGGCATGTTCTTGGCCAATAGATTTTTGGGGGAATACAAGCAATTTTGGATTTACACTCAAACATTAATTTTCTTGGAGCAAGTTTATTTCCATCAAGTTACTTTTACTCCTTAAATTTGGATTTTTTACAGATATACTTGCTCATTGAGAAGTACACTAAGAAATCCCACTAATTTTTATTCCACCCTTTGTTTCACAACATTTGTGGGAACTGCACTTCAAATATCACTAAAATGAGGCTCTCCTTTGGATATGAGAATTCATTGACTCCAAAGCAAAAGGGAGAACCCAGATTAATACACAGCTCTGTTAGTAATGCTCATACATGCAGAATAGCAGATTCCAAATCCATTGACCACCTTGTGTTTGTGGGAGTTTCCAGGAGTTCATCATGCATCTCCTGGTTGCATTTGACATCCAAATATCATGTGAACTTTTAGGTCACATGTTACATTGCAAAATGCCCAAAGAAAGATAATTATAAATAAAATGGAATTTTTAACATTTCTTGTGATAGTTCAACCCATGAAAATTGGTTTCTTAATATGAAAAAATTTTCTGTCACATTTTCACTCAGCTTGCTGCGTCGTATTTCCTCTCTGCTTCACAGCAAGAGTGACAGACAAGAGATTTTCCCATCTTCAGCAAAGTCCGAGTCAAAAAAAATAAAATCCAAGTCAAAAATCAGCCATTCCACACATATAAGCATATTATATTTCATTGCAGAAAACAGCAGTTAAGCCCTGATGGTAAAGACAGCACAAAGGGACAGACTTTCAGTGGAGTCACAGCACACAGTGTCAGACACTGGCCTTTCCAAAAGCCATGTGTTTCTACATAATGTCTGGCCCTCTCAAAACCTAGATCCCTTACCTGCTTAAAACCTCGGTGAGCACTTGTGTTGTTACTGTTGCAAAATAAGGAAGTCAACAAAGACCACAAAAATAATTTTGTTGATTTATTCTGAGAATGAACCTTAGACTATCAAATGGTACAGATACCCCAGAAAAGCTACTCATAATTTGTTTCTTTAATGACTGAATAAAGATAATAATTTCATACTTCCTTGGTTGTAGATGGTGAATAACAGAAGTTTGAAGGGAAAGAAACTGAGTTATGGCTGCTTTTTTTTGTTTTTTTTTTTGGTTTATCTACCTTCTTGTAATACTTGTATGTGTTAGCTTCTAATAGTATACTATCATTAAGCAATATTTTTAAGCTTTTATAGTACTCTGCTTAAATAATGAGCTAGAAGAAAAGAAGCAGTGGATCATGTAAAACTCACTCATTACTGTTATAACAATTGTTTCTGCCATTTAGATGTCAGGAAAAGTATTTGAAACACTCATCTATAGAGCTATCCTGAATGTACACTGAGTCCATCAATACTGTAAGTTCAGCAAGCCAACAGCAACTTCCTAAGCAAGACATGATGATAACATTTCATGTAACTCCTCTTTGGCAATCCTTAGACACTGCAACTAAATACCAAAGAGTGTCACGTGAGCCAGCCAGTTACTGCAAGAAAGAAAATGTGATGAACTGTTTGTTTTGAACTATCAGTATAAACATATTGCAGAAATGAAACCCAAGCTTAAACAATGGGGAAAGTTATCCGGTATTAAAATAAACAGTTCTAGGAAAATCTCTAAAAATGTTTACCAAGTCATCTTCTTCTGCAGAGTTTCTGTGCAGAGCATTTTGCCATGTCCCTGGTTTTTCAACCAACCCCAGTTACACTGATTATAGATATGCAAATTATAATGGACAGGGCTGGGCCTTAATTGCCTATAATTGGCTCCCCAAGCAAGGGCATTTTTTTCCACAATCAAGCTTGTAGATCATCAAAGAAGCAATTGTGCATTAAGAAAATAATTTTTTTAACAGAAAAGTATACTTGTTTTGCTTCTAAAAATCCGATAGTTTGGATATTAAATAACAATTTTAAATTAAAATTTAGGGAAGCCACGATTCTTACAAAACTTCACAGTAAGTATTTTTCAAATATCACAGAAAGTATTTTTCAAACATTACAGAATGAAAGTGTAGGTGCACTGCCTGTGCTGAATGTGCTCAGAAAATAATTCCCTTTGCCAAACATTGGCTATGTAAATTTTTATTGGAAGTTATATATATTACCTGAAATAGGAAATACAACTCCCTTATGTAAATGAGACTATTTCTAAAATTCTTAAACATTCTTTTTGATTATAAGTATTCTCTTCCACTAAAAGACCTGCAACTGTTAATTATTCTTTAGTTCAATCACAGCAGGTGCATTGTAAAAGTGTAGAAAGTTGAGGGGGAAAAATGAATGCAGAATATAAAAATGAGATGGGAGATACCTACGTAATATATTCATTACACTTGAGCATTATGCAGGTTTTGAAAGGAAATGAGTTATGGCTGAGATGCTTTGTAGTGGCAACAGCAACAAAGCAAATTCAGTATTCAGAGATGCTATAAAGGAGCTGCATCAGCCTCATTTGTTCAGAGTGAGACATGGTCCTTCACACAGAGAAACAGGTCCTTTCATTCCAAGGAAAACTGACACATGGGGATACATGCATAATCCCAGTTTTATGCTAACCCCTGGGAGCAGGACATTGGGGGCTGGGAGGGAAAGGAGGAGGGGAACAGTTCTGCCCTCAGCCAGTTTTACAATCATTGCCGAAGAAAACAGTCCTAATATAAACCCCTTTCACTGGGCTTCCTACCTGTTTAATCACTTCCCTCCAAAGTGTGAGAGGACTAACCCTCAGACATTCACACTCCAGAGACTCATATTTCCTCATGATCACTGTGAAACAGTGATCTTAGTTCAGTCTCTAGTGGACAAACACAGAATAAGTTGAGTCTTAGAAGCATGATTCAGCAGGCAATTTCCTCAAGTAAAATCATATGTGAATAAAAACAGAAAACAACTTTCCTCTTTTTAGTGCTTGTCTCAGCCTGCCAAGGCACAGTTAAATAATTTATTTTCCTCTACATAAAACATCCGCTTATTTCCAGCCCTATATTCCCCAAGGCAGATCAAGACATTAAAAAATGAGGGAAGTAGTCTGAAAATTAAATGCTTGGTTATATTTTCTGCACAGAATCTTTTCTCTCTTGCTATGGCCAGATATGCAAGGGAACAAACATAATTTACCAAAAACTTAGGAAATCCTCCCTAAAAATTCTAGTAGAGTTAGGGGGATGGGGGACCTGCATGTGCTTTTTTAACATGTTTATGTCTTATGTACAGTCTGGATGAAACAAAACTTGTAAATGAGATAGGTTATCAGCAACTGCGCTAATATGAAGTTTCAGCCCAGCTAGTAGAGTCATTCGAATTTTATTCATGTTCATTGTAAGTAAGAACTTGTGTTGGAGTTAAATCCTGTATCTCTCGAGTGGGTACATACAGAAGTTTTCTTGTACCAGATTATATGACTAGCTGCATCACTCAATTGTGTAATTTTCTAAGTTTTGCCAGGCTAAAATGGCAGTATGTGAATGGGAATATCACAAATAGCTGTACACAGACTGTTTATTTATTTTAACTGGTCAGCTACCCCAAAGCATTTTCCTTAGCAAGGTATGGATAATATCTGTGTAAGACATAATTTTACACATGTGAGTAATCATGCTGACTGGGACTGTTCATATGAGTGAAATTATTCACATATTTAAGCCTTTCAGACCCAAACTTCATACAAATAATTACTTCTATTAAGTTACTGCAACACCTTGAAACCCATTTTCCCCTTTCTAGGAAAGAATACACATATATAAACACAATTTGAAGCAGGCTGTCAAGACCAGTGTATTCAACATAGTTAAAAATGTTTACTGAGAAGTTTTAGAAGGGTGAATGCCTATATATTTTCCTGTTTCTTTCCAGCAATCAGCTGGGTAGAATAGTATTACAGGATCTGTTTATGGAGGAACAATGATATTCTTAACCCAGTGCCCTTAAATGCTGATTTTTTTAAATGCTCCCTTTTGCTGTCACAGTAGCAGGTATCCTACATGACATCTGAGCTGAATCTGTGAACTATAAGTAGAGCTTATCAGAACTTAGTAAGTTCTGTCCATAGAGTCCCTGGAGGATTTTTCTGTCCTCCAACTCACATGCATGCATATTTTCTTGAAAAAAAGCCTTAAGAAGTCACATCTTTCAGTAAAGTGAAGAAAATTCAGCTCCCAAAAGCAATGTCACTAGGAAGGGTGCACTCTGGCTAAAACATTTTTCTCCTACACAGCCAAGAACTCTATCAATCCTTATTAGCTCTGTTCTCCTAGAAACTAATGAAAACTTTAAACAGCATAAACATCCCCCAAAGAAATCATTTAGTGAGAAACAAAAAAAAGCAGCACTTACTTTTTGCAGCCACTGAGTGTAATTTTCCATCACATGTTCCAGATGTTGCAGTTTCTGGGAAGAGAAATCCTGTTCCACGTGAGGAGCATCTCTCTGAAGAGCATTTGTGTTGTACTGGTCTGTTGTGCTTTCACGACAGTTCCCGTCCTGTTCTGGCAGAATGAAAGTGTAGGTGCACTGCCCGTGCTGAACCCGGTTAAATCTTCTCCCACTGCCTTCTGGACCCCGACGCTGGTTAGTACAGCCTACAAGAGCAAGAATCACTGCCAGGAAAGCAAAGGAAAAGAAAACTGACATGTTATTATTACTTTCCTTTCCTGCTTCAAGAAAAACTTTTTCTTCCTCTTTCTTTAAATTTGTTCTTAATTTCCCTCAAAGTCTTTAAAAAAGGAGCGGAGCAGCACACTTTAAGAATCAAGCTTGGATAAACTGGCTGTTTTGGTTTTTTTTTTAGAATTTCACTGTGAGGATAGCTTCCTTAGTTAAAATTGGGAATATTTATTGCATAGTAGCTAAGATTTATTGTTTCCTCTCTGTTACAGTCCAGCATGTAGCCTGCTTTAGTCAGCTGCATATGCATATCCCAGTCTCTTTCCCCTACACTATCTGCTGCAGAACTGCTATTTTCTCTCAGGCTTCAGTGAGTTTTATTAAGGTTGCACTTTCAAGCCAAGCTGGAAGCAAGCAGCCTTTCACAAGATGACTTGACAGGAATGCGTGTGTGAGTGCGCCCCTATGCTAAGGATGGCTGATGGCTCAGTACAGAGGGATCATCTTACAAACTGGCTGGATGCATGACCTCAATCCTGCATGTCTGCCCAGCCCCTGCTGCACACAACTGCTGGGGGCTTTGGGCGAATTCACGTCAGTTTAATAAGTCAGTCAGTCCACCTTAATACACTTCATATGTTCCCACTGACCTATTAAAATGTAGATAAAGTGTAGAAGTTTGTTGTAATCCCTGTGTAAATATACAAAGCAGTGAAATTAAAAATACTTTCAGTTCTGCTCTGCACTGTATCTATTAAAGAATTCTAGGTCAGGCTTATGACACTTACAGGAAGAAAAAGTTAAGTTTAACCCTCACTAGGTTTATCTAATTTTCCAAGACAGTTGTGTTTCTTTAACAGTTTTCCGAGAGCTGTTTTACATCTTATATTGAAATTAGAGTTGACAAATAGTAATTGCAAAAGGCAGTTCAGAAGGATAATAATTTTCTGTGTTTGGTATCTAAACGAAGGTAACTAATTAAAAACCAGTGAGAGATGGTGACTGAACTATTCCAGATTATCTTCTGTACCACTGCACAGTTATCATGTGCATAACACCAATTTGCAAGTCTGTTTGGGCTGTACAGGCACCCTATGTTACATGTGGAAACTTCCTGTGGGGCAACTTCCTCAGAATAAGGCTGTGGTAATTGCTTAAAAAGCCATCATAAATAATGCCTTTGGTATTTTCTAGAGACAAATAAAAAAGGTACAGATTACAAACAGGACTGGAATATTTATGAAATTCAGAGGAATTTGGATCTGAGTTCCTGCACTAGTTGTTGTTAAATACATATCAGCCAAAAGTAATGTGGAGCCCTTTGCACAATATTTCCCATGAAAGTAAGTAGTCTTCTAAATAGCAATAGTGCATCACTAAAAAAAAACCATCAAGGAGAACTACTTGCACAAATACTGAGTGCAAAGAACTTCAGCGCTCATGTAATTGTGAACTGTATCACAACTACCATGTCATTCTAAAAGAACTGCCTGGAATATTTAGCCAGGCATCTGTCCTGTTCCCATGAAAGCTATTCCTATTCAAACTGCAAAACATCTTGCATCTGGAAAGAAATCACTACATTTGAACCAATAAGTAATATTCCCTACAATAAAACAGAAAAAATGAGAAATTCATATGTTGCTCTAAATTTTTTATATATTCAATATATAGAGAGAAAAAAAAAGAAGAATACAAAGCAAAAAGCAAAGCATCAATGCTACTGTTACTATGAGCAAAATCAGAATATCCTTCCACCTCTCAACTGCTCAGGCCAACTTAGCACTTGTTTTTCTGCTTCTGAAAACCAAACTCTTTGTTTTCTTCCTTGCACACAGGATTTCTCATAACTCACCATCACCACCAGAACTAATGCTGCTGTGGTTTTTCACACTGTCTTTGCAATTATTGTGAAATACATTTCTGAGGATTTTGCTCATCTAAGACCAGAGATGAAAAAGGAAGAAAACAGTAGGATCAGACACTGAACTGAAGGGTTAGTAAAAAAGCAGCTATTCTCTCTGAGGCAAAGCAAAAATACCAGAGCACAAACACGGCAACAATACATGCTTTTCTTGTAAGTAAAAAAGAGTACTTTATGAAAGGGCCTCAGAGCAGCTGAAAGAGGAATAGCAAAGGTGGGTGTACAAAGGCTTCCTAGATTTTTAGTTGATATTTTCAAATATGAACACACATTTACACAAATGCCTCATTCATTTTCTGCAGAGCATTTAAGCATCAGATTTATTCACATGCAAATGTGGGAAAACGAGATTGCAAATTTACAACTGATGTTTTTCAGATGAGGATTTCACAGAAGAGCTGGCTCACTTTGTTGCTGCTACATGGCCCCTTCCTGCTGACTTGAGGTAGCTTCTCCTTCCCCTTCTGTCCCCTTCCTGAGGGATAACAGCCATCAAGACCTTCAAGAACCATGCAGAGTTACCAGGAGTCTTTGGGATTTGCTTGTTTGTCTCTGGCTTAGTTCCCCACCACAGCACTGCCCCTCAGACCCCCTGCCCCAGGCCCCCAGTGGATGGATCGGGGCAATGTGCAATTGTCAGGTGTCACAGCAGGGAGATGTGGCAGAGCCACGCAGCAGCCAGACCATCTCCTACCACCACACTGCACTAAAGCTTCCTTTCTGAAGGGAATCCAGTGCCCCCAGCCATGCACTGTACACATCTGGACTGTAGGAGTAGTGCCTCTGAGACATCTTGTGAGTCCAAACACGTGGGGTCCCACACAGAGGCAGGAAGGGGATGCCAGGAGTCTGCTGAAAGCCCAGGAACCATTCTGTCACTCCTAGTTTGCAGCCTTTCTAGCCCAGTGGGAGGCACAGAAAGGGATGCACAAATTGTGATGGGATGCACTTAAATATTTTCAAGGGCTCCTTGAAATGGCAGCACCTCAGTTGGCTACATAGAAACTCAGCAAGGTTCAGGGCTGCTCTGGCTGACCCCAGAGTTGGAGCTATTCACCAGGGTCCCTAACTAGATTCACAGACATTCCCAGTGCTGTAACACAGGGACCAGCAAGGTCAGCTTGCTGTTTCCCCAAACACACAGAGAAATTATGTTGATAAACACACTGCACCAAGCAAGCCAGGTTCAGTTTACACTCCTCCCTGACACACTCATGGCTCCTTTCATACACAGGCAGAACTGTAACAACCAACACTGAAAAAAATCTTTTCTCCAGATCTACACATTATTCCATTTAATTCCACATTGCAATTTTATAAGGAATTCCATTTTATCTAAGTAAAACAGATTCAGAAATAAGATAAGCTTTTGTTTTCTAAAATTCCCTATTCTTATTAAAGTGTTTTATTTTTCTTGTGATAAGTCTTGCTTTTCTTTTCGCTCTTCTTTTCTTTTAAAAATAATGCTCAAGAATTTCAGTGGTTTGATGTCTTTTACCTGATTTGATAAATGTACAGTTTATTATTCCAGTACCATGTGGTCTATGTGACATGTCCCAGCTTTGTAAGAGCTGAAAAAATTCCGTGAGATGAGGAAAAAATTAGTTCTCACAGTTCAGTCAAAGTCATGGTGGATATTTCTGCAGAATCTTGTATTATATCCTACAGATAAAATCTAAATTGTTTGCCCAGGATTGCACAGTTGCTCAACCAGAAACTGAGTAGGGATGTGTTTAAAATGTTCTTTATTTTCCTAAGACCACTTCCTCCATCACAATTATTAGTTTTGTATTCCTTGAACTTTTCCTTCTGTGTAACAGGGAAGGGATGGATCCAGAGGCTTCCTTCCCACACCATGCAAAGTCTCAAACCCATTGTTTATTTAGTAGCTATGCAAAATACTACTGATGAAAAGACCATTGATCACTATGTAATCAATGCTACAAGGCAAAATAAATGAGAATTCAACATTCAGATAAAGGTTACATTCACATGATATTGTTCCTACATATCTAGAATTAATGCAATTTAGTGGCTTTTACCAATACATATGCATGATCATAGTTCAATTATAAATTCTGGGAAAACAAAACCTATTTCTCTCTCTTTGCATTTCTGCTGAAATATGTGTTATTGCTGCAGATGCTGCAGATTGCTGCACTAAGGTTGCATCATGTCACACACAGTACTTGGAATTACTCCAACTCAGCTTCCTTGGTGTGTATGGGAAACCAGTGCTGAGTGGCTTCTGAGTATAGCTATAATGAGCAAGATTTTCTCTCTCAGTAAACCAATAATAGAGCAGGAAAATACTTATTCTTAGTGTAGCACATTCCAAAGAACCTCATTCTACATATATAAATCCTAGCAAATAAAATGTGATTTTAAGTCTCACATCTCTGACTTGTTATGTGCTAATACTTCTCCAGCTACTTCAGAGGAGTGGTCCCACTTATTCATAGCACACAATACCTGCATGCTTTCTTTCCTTGCTCTCCAGGGAACAAACATATAATCATCTCAGATAAATTACTCCTCAGGACTGAAGCTTATATACTCACATGAGCATGCTTAAGGCATGATCCCACATCATGTTGCTTGCCAGATTCTTCCTTCAAAGGAACATGGTGATGGGTGCTCAGTCACGCCCCAGCCAGCCCAGCGCTCCCAGCATTTGATTTCACACCTGAGAACAAGTAAACAGCTGTGAGCATTAACAGAGTGGCAAAAAGCAGCTTTTACAAGAGGGTGGTTTACAGAAACATCTGAGCTACAGTTTATGCTGTACAACCTGCCTGAATTTTGTCACACACAGAAGGTTTAGTGAATTCTTTCCAGTATGATGGCAGATAAGAGAGGCAAATGTTTCCCAAAACCTTATTTTCATGATGTGGGAAAATCAAGTTGTTCTTATATTCATAAGCAATCTTTGAGCTTATGCATGTAGAGACAAAGCACAGAGATTACTTCTGTTGCATTTGCTCTCACTCTCTGGAGAATGAGGGAAAGTTACAAGCATCCTCTTGCTATCTGTTTAGAGTAAGTTCTGCTCCTTATTTTCAAAATTTCTGTATAGTTGAGTTATGTTCAAAGACCAACCCCAACACTATCAGAGAGGATACAGTATACATCACACAGTAGGTATGATATCTCTGTTTCAAAAAGATAAAAATACATGACCTAATCAAAATGTCTGATGAAAAGACCAACAAGTGATCTTACCTTGTAAAGCCTAGAAAAAACAAAAAAAAAAATTGCCTAGTTTTAAAAGAAAGGTATTTTGTATGCCTACAGGCATTTCTGCCTGATCATGTGAATGTGCCTTCTGTCGCAAATTAATTGAAAGTGCAGTTTGGTGGAAATTATTTATCAGCAGTGTTATTTAGGTTGAATGATTTACTTATTCTGTGAATTATCTCTGTGTCTTAATGATCTCCAGGGAAAATACGTGGGACAAACAGCAATCCATTGATGTGTTACCTTCAGCTCCTGACTCAATTTAACATGTAGTCTTCAAGCGCAGTGCTACATGTATGTCTGTTCTTGAGGTTACAAAGCAGGAACCACAATAGTTTGATTTGAC